TCACCCAATACGTAATAGTACACACTTGTCACGCAATACGTAATGGTACACACTTGTCACCCAATACGTAATAGTACACACTTGTCACGCAATACGTAATGGTACACACTTGTCACCCAATACGTAATGGTACACACTTCTCACCCAATACGTAATAGTACACACTTGTCACCCAATACGTAATGGTACACACTTGTCACCCAATACGTAATAGTACACACTTGTCACGCAATACGTAATGGTACACACTTGTCACCCAATACGTAATAGTACACACTTGTCACCCAATACGTAATGGTATACACTTGTCACCCAATACGTAATAGTACACACTTGTCACCCAATACGTAATAGTACACACTTGTCACCCAATACGTAATAGTACACACTTGTCACGCAATACGTAATGGTACACACTTGTCACCCAATACGTAATGGTACACACTTGTCACGCAATACGTAATAGTACACACTTGTCACCCAATACGTAATAGTAAACACTTGTCACGCAATACGTAATGGTACACACTTGTCACCCAATACGTAATAGTACACACTTGTCACGCAATACGTAATGGTACACACTTCTCACCCAATACGTAATAGTACACACTTGTCACGCAATACGTAATGGTACACACTTGTCACCCAATACGTAATAGTACACACTTGTCACGCAATACGTAATGGTACACACTTGTCACCCAATACGTAATGGTACACACTTCTCACCCAATACGTAATAGTACACACTTGTCACCCAATACGTAATGGTACACACTTGTCACCCAATACGTAATAGTACACACTTGTCACGCAATACGTAATGGTACACACTTGTCACCCAATACGTAATAGTACACACTTGTCACCCAATACGTAATGGTATACACTTGTCACCCAATACGTAATAGTACACACTTGTCACCCAATACGTAATAGTACACACTTGTCACCCAATACGTAATAGTACACACTTGTCACGCAATACGTAATGGTACACACTTGTCACCCAATACGTAATGGTACACACTTGTCACGCAATACGTAATAGTACACACTTGTCACCCAATACGTAATAGTAAACACTTGTCACCCAATACGTAATAGTAAACACTTGTCACGCAATACGTAATGGTACACACTTGTCACCCAATACGTAATGGTACACACTTGTCACGCAATACGTAATAGTACACACTTGTCACCCAATACGTAATAGTAAACACTTGTCACGCAATACGTAATGGTACACACTTGTCACCCAATACGTAATAGTACACACTTGTCACGCAATACGTAATGGTACACACTTGTCACCCAATACGTAATAGTACACACTTGTCACGCAATACGTAATGGTACACACTTGTCACGCAATACGTAATGGTACACACTTGTCACGCAATACGTAATGGTACACACTTGTCACGCAATACGTAATAGTACACACTTGTCACGCAATACGTAATAGTACACACTTGTCACGCAATACGTAATGGTACACACTTGTCACCCAATACGTAATGGTACACACTTCTCACCCAATACGTAATAGTACACACTTGTCACCCAATACGTAATAGTACACACTTGTCACCCAATACGTAATAGTACACACTTGTCACGCAATACGTAATGGTACACACTTGTCACGCAATACGTAATGGTACACACTTGTCACCCAATACGTAATAGTACACACTTGTCACGCAATACGTAATGGTACACACTTGTCACGCAATACGTAATAGTACACACTTGTCACCCAATACGTAATAGTACACACTTGTCACGCAATACGTAATAGTACACACTTGTCACCCAATACGTAATAGTAAACACTTGTCACGCAATACGTAATGGTACACACTTGTCACCCAATACGTAATAGTACACACTTGTCACCCAATACGTAATAGTACACACTTGTCACCCAATACGTAATGGTACACACTTGTCACGCAATACGTAATAGTACACACTTGTCACCCAATACGTAATGGTACACACTTGTCACGCAATACGTAATAGTACACACTTGTCACGCAATACGTCATAGTACACACTTGTCACCCAATACGTAATAGTACACACTTGTCACGCAATACGTAATGGTACACACTTGTCACCCAATACGTAATGGTACACACTTGTCACGCAATACGTAATGGTACACACTTGTCACGCAATACGTAATAGTACACACTTGTCACCCAATACGTAATAGTACACACTTGTCACGCAATACGTAATAGTACACACTTGTCACCCAATACGTAATAGTACACACTTGTCACGCAATACGTAATGGTACACACTTGTCACGCAATACGTAATGGTACACACTTGTCACGCAATACGTAATGGTACACACTTGTCACCCAATACGTAATGGTACACACTTGTCACGCAATACGTAATAGTACACACTTGTCACCCAATACGTAATAGTACACACTTGTCACGCAATACGTAATGGTACACACTTGTCACCCAATACGTAATAGTACACACTTGTCACGCAATACGTAATGGTACACACTTGTCACCCAATACGTAATGGTACACACTTGTCACCCAATACGTAATAGTACACACTTGTCACCCAATACATAATGGTATACATTTGTCACTCAATACTTAATGGTACACACTTGTCACGCAATACGTAATGGTACACACTTGTCACCCAATACGTAATGGTATACACTTGTCACCTAATACGTCATAGTACACACTTGTCACCCAATACATAATGGTACACACTTGTCACCCAATACGTAATGGTATACACTTGTCACCCAATACGTAATGGTACACACTTGTCACGCAATACGTAATAGTACACACTTGTCACCCAATACATAATGGTACACACTTGTCACCCAATACGTAATACTACACACTTGTCACCCAATACGTAATGGTACACACTTGTCACGCAATACGTTATAGTACACACTTGTCACCCAATACGTAATGGTATACACTTGTCACCCAATACGTAATGGTATACACTTGTCACCCAATACGTAATGGTACACACTTGTCACCCAATACGTATTGGTACACACTTGTCACCCAATACGTAATGGTATACACTTGTCACCCAATACGTAATGGTACACACTTGACACCCAATACGTAATAGTACACACTTGTCACGCAATACGTCATAGTACACACTTGTCACCCAATACATAATGGTACACACTTGTCACCCAATACGTCATAGTACACACTTGTCACGCAATACGTCATAGTACACACTTGTCACCCAATACGTAATGGTATACACTTGTCACCCAATACGTAATGGTACACACTTGTCACCCAATACGTAATGGTACACACATGTCAACCAATACATAATGGTGTACACTTGTCACCCAATACGTAATGGTATACACTTGTCACCCAATACGTAATGGTATACACTTGTCATCCAATACGTAATGGTACACACTTGTCATCAAATACGTAATGGTACACACTTGTCACCCTATACGTAATGGTATACACTTGTCACCCAATACGTAATGGTATACACTTGTCACCCAATACGTAATGGTACACACTTGTCACCCAATACGCAACCAACGACATGTTGTACTCAGTGAATGTGATGCACGCAATAAACCAAATCATAGAGTCTAGCTGCCTGATCCCCCTGTAAGTTAGATGACGTGGACTAACCCAAACCCCCTGTAAGTAAGATGACGTTGACTTACCCGACCCCCCTGTAAGTTGGATGACGTTGACTTACCCGTCCCCCTGTAAGTTGGACGATGTGGACTTACCCGACCCCCCTTTAAGTTGGATGACTTGCACTTTACTCGACCCCCCCTGTAAGTTGGATGACGTGGACTTACCGACCCCCCTGTAAGTTGGATGACTTGCACTTACTCGACCCCCCCTGTAAGTTGGATGACGTGGACTAACCCGACCCCCCTGTAAGTTGGATGACGTTGACTTACCCGACCCCCCTGTAAATTGGATGACGTGGACTTACCGACCCCCCTGTAAGTTGGATGACGTTGACTTACCCGTCCCCCTGTAAGTTAGATGATGTGGACTTACCCGACCCTCCTGTAAGTTGGATGACGTGGACTTACCGACCCCCCTGTAAGTTGGATGACGTGGACTTACCCGACCCCCCTGTAAGTTGGATGACGTTGACTTACCCGTCCCCCTGTAAGTTGGATGATGTGGACTTACCCGACCCTCCTGTAAGTTGGATGACGTGGACTTACCGACCCCCCTGTAAGTTGGATGACGTGGACTTACCCGACCCCCCTGTAAGTTGGATGACGTGGACTTACCCGACCCCCCTGTAAGTTGGATGACGTGGACTTACCCGACCCCCCTGTAAGTTGGATGACGTGGACTTACCGACCCCCCTGTAAGTTGGATGACGTGGACTTACCCGACCCCCCTGTAAGTTGGATGACGTGGACTTACCCGACCCCCCTGTAAGTTGGATGACGTGGACTTACCCGACCCCCCTGTAAGTTGGATGACGTGGACTTACCCGACCCCCCTGTAAGTTGGATGACGTGGACTTACCCGACCCCCCTGTAAGTTGGATGACGTGGACTTACCGACCCCCCTGTAAGTTGGATGACGTGGACTTACCCGACCCCCCTGTAAGTTGGATGACGTGGAATTATCTGACCCGGAATTAACAAGGATTGATATCGCTACTCTCGTATATCCGTTTTAGAATATGATGTTTCGAATCAGGCCTTTGAAAGGCATTTAGAAGTGATACACATAGGAAGATAATTTATGGATGTCAACTTCTTTATTATGAGGAACACAACGTTTCGGAGTATATGATTACTCCTTCATCAGGTGAATAAAGGAGTAAGCATATACTCCGAAACGTCGTGTTCCTCATAATAAAGAAGTTGACATCCATAAATTCTCTCCCTTATGTTCAAAATGTCGCATACCGCTAACGATGGATTCCGTAAAATGAAAAATAATAAATTTACCTGTTAATAATACCACCAGTCCCATGCACCGGGCGACGGGGAGACAGACATGCCCTGACAGCCCCATGACCACACTTCCGTGTAGCCTGTGTTTGCAGCAGTCCTAGCGGCCGCTGTGTACACGGTACAGCGTGCAGGCGGACATTGCAGGACATCTAGCTTATCTGTGCGGGAGTGTATCGCCGCGCAACGCTACACAAGTACACCTTCCTCCTTACGTTTCAGGTTCCTCAATCGTTGATTGGTTATCACACAGTCCTATTTGAGTTGTATGAACGTCATTCGAACAACTAAGATAACGGGGTCGATATGAAATATTCACACCACTGACGAGCACCTTTTCCTGATTTGATATAATCCCCGTGTTGGGCTCATTGTACTCGCTGCACGTGCTTCATGTGCGTCTTTCTCATCATTGTTATCCTATCACAACTATTGTGAAAAACGTGAATATGGTATGCAATTAAAGAATATATCTTGATAACCATCATCATCACATATTGAACACTGCCATCGTCATCATCACCACTGGCACACTAAGTCACCGACTATCGTCATCATCAACACCACCGTCGTCATCATCGCCTCACCATGGTCATCAACACCACCGTCATCGTCATCAACACCACCGTCATCGTCATTATCGCACCACCTTCGTCATCATCATTAATTCCACCGTCATCGTCATTATCGCACCACCTTCGTCATCATCATTAATTCCACCGTCATCGTCATTATCGCTCCACCTTCGTCATCATCATTAATTCCACCGTCATCGTCATTATCGCACTACCTTTGTCATCATCATTAATTCCACCGTCATCGTCATTATCGCTCCACCTTCGTCATCATCATTAATTCCACCGTCATCGTCATTATCGCACTACCTTTGTCATCATCATTAATTCCACCGTCATCGTCATTATCGCACTACCTTTGTCATCATCATTAATTCCACCGTCATCGTCATTATCGCACCACCTTCGTCATCATCATTAATTCCACCGTCATCGTCATTATCGCACCACCTTCGTCATCATCATTAATTCCACCGTCATCGTCATTATCGCACTACCTTTGTCATCATCATTAATTCCACCGTCATCGTCATTATCGCTCCACCTTCGTCATCATCATTAATTCCACCGTCATCGTCATTATCGCACTACCTTTGTCATCATCATTAATTCCACCGTCATCGTCATTATCGCACTACCTTTGTCATCATCATTAATTCCACCGTCATCGTCATTATCGCACCACCTTCGTCATCATCATTAATTCCACCGTCATCGTCATTATCGCACCACCTTCGTCATCATCATTAATTCCACCGTCATCGTCATTATCGCACTACCTTTGTCATCATCATTAATTCCACCGTCATCGTCATTATCGCTCCACCTTCGTCATCATCATTAATTCCACCGTCATCGTCATTATCGCTCCACTTTCGTCACCATCACTTTACCATCGTCAATCAACACCACCGTCATCGTCCTTATCGCACCACCATCGTCATCATCATTAATTCCACCGTCATCGTCATTATCGCTCCACTTTCGTCACCATCACTTTACCATCGTCATCGTCAACACCACTAGCATCGTCGTTATCGCACCACCTTCGTCATCATCGCCACTGTCTCACTAAGTCACCGACTATCGTCATCATCAACACCTACTTCATTATCATCGCCTCACCTTCGTCATCATCGGGGCGGTCGGGTAGCCTAGTGGTTAAAGCGTTCGCTCGTCACGCTGACGTCCCGGGTTCGATTCCCGACATGGGTACAGTGTGTGAAGCCCATGTCTGGAGTCAACCGTCGTGAAATTGCTTGAATATTGCTAAAAGCGGCGTTAAACCATACACACTCACTCACTCACACACTGCACCGTGAGCGCCAACGGAAAATAGGGCAAAGGCTGAATACAAGAACAAATTCACCAGCTTTTTGAAAAGAGTTAAGCTTCTCATAATATTAAAGGGGATAGTTGGCTTGATCATTGCAGCATTATTTTTAACAGCAAAAAAATACGTCTTTAGAAATAGGAAATGAAACTGACAGCTCTGCACAGATAAGTGAGTTTGAATCCCTTATAATAGAATCTTCTACAGTTGAAGAAATACACAACGCTTTTACGCATTTAAAAAATGGAAAATCACCTGGAATTGATAAACTGCTCATTGAAATGATTAAGTCTTCGGAACCAATTATAATGCCCTTCCTACTTTCTTTGTTTAACACGATCTTTAACAGTGGATGTTTCTAGACTTATGGACTAAGGCAATTATTATCCCGTTGCATAAAAAGGGCGACATACATAATCTCGATAATTACAGAAGAATATCATTACTAAAGTACTCACGGAAATAAAACAAAGCTGTTTTTCTCAATTTAAAAATCGACACAAAGTGTTACGTAGCTGTAAATACGAAATAACAAAACAACTCGTCTGGATTTGCTAGTTTGATCTCAGTGAACAATACAAAATGTACTTTACAGGAGGTAATTTGTCGGCACTTTCAACATTCAAAAATAAAACAAAGTCCAAATTGACATAGCAGAAACAGACTATAGGCATTATGCACCTGTTCTCACCTGTCGTCAAGGTGTCATAGGTCACCTTGATCTACTTACACCTGGTTATGCCCTGTTTCACAATAGACTGTTTTATTCACATTTTTACACATTTTTACGTGTAAAAAGGCATAAAAAACATTTGATACGCTGTATTTGTGCCACGGCCCAATTAGGACTAATTTAGTTGTTTGAATATTTACATATTTTGTATATTAACTGCATTTATTTAAGATCTGAGGTCGAAAAAACAGGTTTTTTTCATTTCCGTGAGTACTTTAAGTTCACTAGGAAATATGTATACATGTGTATTAAATGAAGGCCTTCAAAATGGGCATATTTATGAGTAAAGTTTCTGAAAATCAAACAGATTTTCGCCAAGATTATTAGAATATAGATAATATTTTTGACCGTATGTGCAATTATTGAAAAATGTCTATGTAAAATGAAGCTATTGCATGTAGTCTTAATCTATTAAAAGAAAGCTTTGGATTATTTCAATCGAGAAAAGCTATTGGAATTTATTGTCTTCTTTTGGCCTAAGTGGTAAAATGCTGAGGGATTTACAAAGTGTTTTTAATCATTTAAAGTTTGTGTCAGATGAAATACAGATTTCACAGATTATTTTGACTGTCCATTTAGTTTAAGACAAGGATGTACACTGAGCGCTATGCTATTCTCATTGTTTATAAATTAACTAGCTACAGACGTTATGGCACCTGGGATTCAACTCTCTCCAGATACAGTAGAAGTATTAATGTTATTTGCTGATGATGTAGTTATGGTTTCTGATACTAGTTATGTGGTTTACAGCGTCAGATAAATATTCTCGATGCATATGCAGATATGTGTGGTATGACTGTCAACTTGAGCAAATCAAATGTTGTTTTTAGAAGAATAGGAAAAGTATCAGCTCAAGAAATGCTGTGTTATATAGGACAAGTTTTAGAGGTTGTTAATTCTTCACTTGTAAGTTTAGCCAAAGTAAATATGCTGCTGATCTAGCCCTACGTGCCAAGAAGGATTTATTTAAGGTACTTATTACAAGTAGAAACATATCTATCACTGCCCCCAAATTGTTCTTTAAGTTATTTGATTGTCAGATTAGTCCGATTCGTTTGTACGCATCTGGAATTTGGGGGAATCAATAGATTTGAAAGTATAGAGAAAATCCACCTATTGGCTTGTAAAAACTTCTTACAAACAGGACCACAAACACCTAGTGCTATAGTTTATGGTGAATGTGGCCGATATGCAATGTATATCTACTCATTTATTCGTAGTGTTGGATATAACAATATATTCAAAATATATTCAATGCAAGAGGGCCGCTCCCCTCCAAAAAGCGTACATGTTACTTTATGTAGGTAATGTAGAGTATAAAACACAAAGATATCTACTATTTTCTCAGGGTTTTAGGTTTGTTTGGATGTCAAGAACTGTTGGAGATAAAAAAAATGTTCAATAACTATATTCAAGGATTGTGCTATTGATATGTTTCATCAAAATCTACTATTAGTAACAGTTCAAAATATAACCTTTATAGAGAATGTTAAAGTTTGTTAGAACGTTTAGTGACGTTCACACACACACACACACACACGCCTCACACACGCCTCACACACGCCTCACACACACACACACACACACACACACACTCACTCACACACACATACACACACACGCATACACACACGCATACACACACGCATACACACATGCATACACACAGATACACATACGCGCGCACACACACACGCCAAAGGCACACATACAGATACACACACGCGCGCACACACACACGCCTCAGACACACATACAAACATACATACATACACGCCTCGGACACACACACATACATACACACAAGCCTCAGACACACACACATACACACACACAAGTAGGTTGAAGGCTTGTGTGTATGCCATGGCGTCTGTTACCTGGACACACACACACACACACACACACACACACACACACACACACACACACACACACACACACACACACACACACACACACACACACACACACACACACACACACACACACACACACACACACACACACATACAAGTAGGTTGAAGGCGTTTGTGTATGTCAAGACGTCTGTTACCTGGACACACACACACATACACATACACATACAAGTAGGTTGAAGGCGTGTGTGTATGTCATGGCGTCTGTTACCTGGACACACACGCCTCAGACACACACACATACACACACACGCCTCAGACACACACATACATACACACGCGCACACGCGCGCACACACACACGCATCAGACACACATACACACACATACATAAACACACACGCCTCAGACAAACACATACACACACATCACGCATACACACGCCTCACACACACGCGCGGACACGCAGATACACACACGCATACATACACACACACACATACAGATACATACACACACATATGCACACATACACTCAAAAACATATACACACACATATACACACCTCTCTTTCTTTCTCTCTCTCTCTCACACACTCACACTCACACACTCTCTCACACACACACACACACACACACACACACACACACACACACACACACACACACACACACACACACACACACACACACACACACAC